AAAAAGAGTTAATGAGGCATCAATAAGAAGAAAAAAAAAATGATACAGCCAACAGCTTGGGTGGATCTCCAGGGAATTATGCTAACCTAACAGAATCAAAGCTAATCTCAGAAGATTGCAAACTACAGGATTCCATTTACACAAAATACTCAAAAAGTGAAAAATTGGGCTGGGCACAGTGGCTCACACATGTAATCGCAGCACTCCGGGAGGCTGAGGTGGGAGGTTCACTTGAGCTCATGAATTCAAGATCAGCCTGGGGAACACAGCAAGACCCCATCTATACAATTTTTTTTTCTTCTCCAGACAGGCTCTCCCTCTGTCCCCCAGGCCAGAGTGCAGTGGCGCAATCTCAGCTCACTGCAACCTCCGCCTCCCAGGTTCAAGTGCTTTCCATGCCTTAGCCACCTGAATAGCTAGGATTTCAGGCGTGTACCACCACACCCAGCTAATTTTTGTTATTTTTAGTAGAGACGGGGGTTTCGCCATGTTGACTAGCTGGTCCTGAACTCCTGGTCTCATGTGATCCACTCACCCTGGCCTCCCGAAATGCTGGGATGATAGGTGTGAGTCACCACACTCAGTTGAAAATTTTTTTTTTTTTTTTTTTTTTAAACAGAGAAAGGGTTTCTCCCTGTTGCCCAGGCTGGTCTTGAACTCCTGGGCTCCGGTGATCCTCCCATCTCGACCTCCCAAAGTGTTGGGATTACTAGTGTGAGCTGCTGACCCAGCCCTCTACAAAATAAATACATTTTTTAATCAGCTAGGTGGTCCCAGCTGCTCACAAGGCTGAGGTGGGAGAATCACTTGAGCCCAGAAGTTCAAGGCTACAGTGTGTTATGACTGCACCACTGCACTCCAGTGCACTCACTTTTTTTAAGAGTGAGACCCGGTCTTAAAAAAAAAAAAAAATTGTAGAGATGAAGAACAGATTGCTGATTCCCGGGCTTAAGGAAGGTGCAAGTCTCAAAACTGCACAGAACTACACACACACACGTGCGTGTAAAGCCAGTGGAATCTGACGAGGATCTGTGGATGGCACCCACGTCGGCTTCCTAGGTCTGATGCGGCACCATGGGCGGGTGGGACAGTACCCCCGGGGTGGCTGGGTTGGGGGTGGCTGGGCTGGGGGTGGCTGGACTGCAGGTGGCTGGACTGCGGGTAGCTGGGTGAGAGGTGAACACTCTGCCACTTCCCGTGAATCCCGAATGACTTCAGAATAAAAAACGGATCAACTTCAAGGACGAGGGCTCAACAGAGTAACAGAAAATTCACCAAAAAGCCATTCACAGGGTCAATCCCCTTCCAAAAAGACCACCACCCTCTATTCATCAAATGAGTGGCAGGCGAAAGGACATGATCTTTGTCACCTATTAAATGAGAGACGCCACGCTGTCACGTTGGCCAGGCTGGTCTCACACTCCTGGCCCCAGGTAATCCTCTCGCCTCTCGCCTCAGCCTCCAGAAGTGCTGGGATTACAGGCATGAGCCACCGCACCCGACCTCACAAGGGACGTTTTCAATGTGAAAACACATCCACGGACCTAGCAGTCCCACTCCCAGACACGCGCCCAGAGGAAATAACTCGTGCGCCGGGTTCCTCCAGTGTTTTCTCTCAATCAGAAACCGCAGGTGCCGTTCTGTGGATTTTCACTCTGAGCGTGTGTCAAACTTACGATCGCACGGACAGAGAAAGCGACCAGGAAATGAAAACTAGGAAAGAACTTTCCTTTCGTCTGTCAATAAGCAATTTCCTGGTGTCTCTCATGGCCTCAGATCCTGTCTTTTTTGGCAGAAGAGGAGCTGTCACTCAGGGACCTGTGCCTGAGGGTTTCCAAAAATGGGAGGCGGTGGGCGGGAGAAGGCGTACAAAAATTATTCCCGTTTTAAATGTCTTCCAATCCAGACAACCAGAAAATCTTGGTTTCCTATTCATTCATCTCTATATGCCTTTTTTGCTTTGTTTTTGTTTTGAGACAGGGTCTGGCTCTGTCACCCAGGCTGCAGACCAGTGGCGTGATCTCAGCTCACTGCCACCTCTGCCTCCCAGGCTCCAGCAATCCTCCTGCCTCAGCCTCCCAAGTAGGTAGGACCACAAGTACGCGCCACCATGCCCAGCTAAGTTTTGTATTTTTAGTAGAGATGGGGTTTTGCTGTGTTACCCAGGCTGGTCTCGAACTCCTGAGCTCAAGCGATCTTTCTGCCTTGGTCCCCCAAAGTGCTGGGATTATAGGCAGAACCACTGTGTCCGGCCCTTTTCTGTTTGTTTGAATTGGGGTCTCCCAATCACCCACGCAGGAGTAGAGTGGCTCAATCACAGCTCACTGCAGCCTTGACCTCCTGGCCTCAAGTGATCCTCCTGCCTTGGCCTCCCAAAGTGCTGGGATTAAAGGCGTAAGCCACCTCGCCCAGTACCTAACTCTTCTCTCGACACCAATTTTTACGTATTAATAAATATCGAAGAACAGGTAGACCTTCACAGGGTAAAGCTTATGTCTAATTAATTTTCAGGGACACCTTTCACCTGGGTTTCTGCTTCTCAAATCTAAAGATTCCTTTCAAATGAATTTAAGAAAAGCAAAGTGACTTAAAAAGGGTGCTAGAATAGGACGCATGAGGAAGGGGCCAAGGTGGAGAACGCGGCTGGGGGACCCCATCAGCGCTGGGGACTCCTGGCGAAGGGCGGGGTCCCTGAAGCCAACTGGGCCCCGCCTGGAAGGAAGCTGCACCCACTGTTCCAGGAAGAAGCCAAGGTTTGGGAAGGGATCCCACAGCTCCGGGGCTCCATCCTGCTAATGAACTCCAAACTCCTCTCTTCCCAGGTTCTTAGAGAGGAAAAACCGGGAGAGGGGAAATGAGTTACTGCAGCTCCCGGCCCTGCCGGGATCCCTCTGCCGCTCGCACCCACGGACTGGCTGAACCTGACGAGGGAACAGAACAGGTGCCCATCTTGCGGGAGCTTCGGAAGGGCCGCACCTGGGGCCAGTGCCACAGCCTGCAGGGGCCTGGGGGAGTGGAGGCAGTGATGAGGGTGCCACCAACTCAGGCCTTGGGGCTCTGCATCCTGCACCACCCCAGGCTCAGGCAGGCGTTAATACACGGACTGAACTGGGAGGGGTCACCCCGCTGTGTCCAGGAGCTGGGGGGTCCTGCGCTGCAGCAGCCACATCACGTCCCTCGAAGGCAAGAAATGCAACATACTGGGCCTCACTGGGCCCTCCGCAGCCTCCCTGATGTGTGGGGGCACAAGGCGAGACACTCCCAACCTGCAATATTGGGCAGGGCCAGGGCATGGCACGAGACTCTGTGGGAACCACAGAAAATCAATCTGTAAACATTCACAGCGTTCCTGTTGGGACCGGGCTGGGCGTCCAGGCAGAGGCAATCCCAGAGGGAGCATTCTCAGGACCAGGCGGTCCACACACCACAGCTCTGGCTACCCAGGCACCAATTTCACAGCTAGCGGTCCGCGCCAGGGCTGAGGGGGTGAAAGAGGACAGGGGATGAGGGAAGACGCATCCCACCCCACCCTCCCCACCAGGCCCTGCTGTAAGCCCAGGCAGAGGCCCAGGAGAATGAGGGTGTATGGCCCTGGTAGCTGCGCCTCCTCCTCCAGGAAGCCCCCAAGGCCTGACCCTCTGTCTCACACAAGGAAGCGTCAGCATGTCCGGTTCCTGGGGCTGTTTCCGGGGGGCTGGCAGGGTGGTGTTTGGGGATTTCCATGCCTCAGGAGCATATTCCGGCCAGCCCTGCGGCCACTTCCTCAGGCAGAGGGGAAGGCCAGTGTGAGGCAGTGGGGGCAGCAAAGCGATGTCTCTCCGTGCGGGGGTACAGGTGCCTAAGTACAGACCCCCCTTGCCCACCACTCAAAAAACCCCAAGACTCCAGCCAGGGTCCACCCCCGGGGGATTCTGGAGACAACTGCGAGATGGCACTTTCCCCCCAGATCCCAGAGGCAGGAAGGACACAGCTTCAGAGGCCCCAGTCCCGAGGCCCCCACTCCCCGGAAAGATGCTGATGTCCACAAAGAGACCCGTGGCTCTGAAGCAGCATCAGGGGCACCCACCCCCAGTCTCCCCCACCAAATCCTGTCGACAGCCAGGCTGGGCCACCCAAATGCACATCAGACTAGACCCTCTCTCCATTTACAACCATCCAGGGCTCCCTGATGCACCTGTAATGAACACAGCGCCTCCTACCCCACCCCGCCGGCCGGTCCCACCACAGGGTGTCCGTATGGGCTGTTCCCTCTGCCTGGCAAACTCTTCCCTTCATCCTCCCACAGCCCCTTCCTCTCACCCTCAGGACACCCACTCTGCGGAGACCTTCCTGGGGGGCCCCACCCACGCTCCAGATTGTGATGTGCAGGCCGCCCCCAGACCCTACATCTCCCCGATCTGTCCCACCCACTGCCATGTCATCAGCGAGGGCGACCCGCTCATCCAGGTCAGCCTGGCATGTTTCTGGTTTCAGCACTCAAAGCCCCAGGTCCCCGGAACTGCCCTTCTGTCCTAGGCAAACCACAATGGCCCGTCACCCTGGTGCTGGAGCCTGCATACAGCCAGTGCCTAATACATGCTTAAATGAAAGCGGTCGAGGCTCACAAGGTGGGTGGGATCCAGTGAGAGCCGGGATCCCGCATCACGCCCCTCCAGAGCCTCAGTTTTCCCCTTGTGGATTGACTGGAGACACGGAGGCTCAAGATCCCCACGCATACACAGGCCCAGCTCCAACCCTGGTTCTAAGAGAAAGCCCCACCCACCCCCAGACCCAGGCTCCAGGCGCCGGATGGACAAGGGGACGAGGGGCTCGGGCTCCCGAGGCAGGTCACACAGGCAAGGGCAGCTGATTTCAGGGGTCCTCAGGCTCGCTGCCTGACCTGGCCTCTGTGGCCCCTTCCCTCCTCTGCTGCCCCCAGCCTCCCCTCAGCCCATGCACTATCTTCAACAGACCCTCGATCTCCTCACTCCACGAGCACCGGCAGGAAGGCGGGATCCTACCTGAACCTCCGAACTGCGCCCCGGCCAGGGAGGCGGGCCGGCCCTTCCCGTTGGTGACAGGCAGCGGGAACATCTGCAGGGAGGCGAGGGGAGAGGTGAGTGGGGCGGGCAGCAAATCAAACCCTACAGTCCTGGGCTCCAACCCAGGCAGGGAGCAGAGCTGGGGACGTCCAGGGACCTGAGACTGGGCTCCATCTAGGTCCGGCCCGTCCTGCTGTGCCCTCAAGTGACAGTGCACCCCGGACACCCACGCCCAAAATGAGAAAACTCCGGACAACGATGACCCCGCTGCCCCGCCAGGCACAGAGTCCCTGCCACTGAAAACCTGCTGTTCCCCCTGCGTTTGCTCTGGGGGGAGCGGTATCCTATTCAGGCAAAGGATGCAACTTATCAGCTCTTGACGGTGATACAATGTTGTCTTTACCTTTCAGCTCTAAAAAGTGACAGGTTTACACTCAACAAGGGCACATGTGGAGAGGTCCCTGATGCCTGAGCCCTGGCTGACTCCACGTTTCAGGTGGCTGACTCCACGTTTCAGGTGTACGCACTGGCCCTGCATGGCAGGCCCTGGAGCAGGGGGTGGCGCCCACTGTCCCCCTACCAGGGCTGGGTATGGGTTTGCTCGACCAAAGGGGAAGCCGAGGCTCAGACAGGCAGCAGGTCGAGGAAGACACAGAATGGAGCCCGGGGCCCGGCAGGAAGCTGGAGGGGCTGGGGAGAGGCTGCACCCCACCGCTGATCCAGCTCCTGGGTGCCAGGGGTGTGGGACTGCCACCCCCCTCCTGCCCGGCTCACCGTACCCAGGGCACTAAGTGCCTAAAGATTAACTGGCTCAGCAGCATTAACCGGAAAAGCCAACAGCAACAAACCCTTTTGCCACAGAAAAAAACACACGCCTCCGCCCTGCCCCAAGGGGCTGCGTTTTAAAGCTCCCACTGGGGTTCAAGTGATCAAAGTGGCTGGAATCAGGGCCAGGCGGTTTTTGAGGAGCGGCCAAGATCCCCAACACCTTCCCCAGGCGGCCAGCCAGGAGGCGAAGGCACAGCGTCTGTGGCCACAATCCTCCAGTCCAAAGGGGACCCAGGAAGCGGAGTTCTGTCCCCCACTCCCTGGTCCTACAGAAGAGGAAACGGAGGCCACATTCTCACCTGGCCCTGGAGAGGAAGAACGGCCTTGCGGGTAGGAGCGGTGCCCGGGCTGCAGGCAGTGTTCACCCAGGACCGCACCCCCTCCCGCAGGCTCGGGTGTGCCCAGCCTCCCCAGGACCCTGGTTTCCAAGGGCCACCCTCCCATTTGGGAAACAGAGGCCTGCTGTGGGGGACGGGCAGGCCTGGGCGAGCCCATGGAAGGAGCTGCAGCCAACTGCGTTTTCACCTGCTTCGTCCCCTACGACACCAGCGCTGCACCAATGTGGCATGGGCCACAGGGTACCGGGCCGTGTCCTCTGGGCTCCGCTGACCTCGTGAGCAGCCCAGAACAGCCCCTGCACCCCTTGGAGCCTCGGTTTCCTCTTCTGAGAAATGGACTCAGGGCTCTGGCTGGGTGGGATGTGGTAAAACCCAAGCTCCCATGGGAGTCTTGCACGCGGCAGGGTCTGGGGAGCTGGCTTCCAACAGCCTTGGTCCCAGGAACTCGCTCCCCCTTCATCCCTGAAGCCCCCGACTCAGGCCCAGGGACTGCCTGGGACCCAGGCAGAGCATGTCAGCCCAGGCCAGCGCCAGCAGGTCCTTCTTTCCCGACAAAGCTAGCCTGGGTTGGGGCAGGACCAAGGCGCGCTGGGAACAGCCTGGGTTAGCGTTCTCCCTCAAGAACCAGAGAACTGAGTCCCCTGTTCTCTCGTTTTACGGGAATCTGGTCCAGGGAAGTGCTTCCCCTTAGGACTCAGTTTCTGGGACGGGGGCAGAGGGCAGGTATGCAGGAACAGAGCAGGGCTGCGGGCAGTCATGGGGGCCGCCTCTGCCTGCCTGTCCTGGCCAGGCAGGTGAAACTCCAGTTCTGGGTAAAGCCAGAGGGGGGACGCCCAGAGAGGACGGGCACCTCACTGCTCCCAGCCTGTTTCCTCATCTGGGAACAGGGCTGCTGACTCCGACCTGGGACGGGGAGATGCGCTGAGTGGCTGGAGGTGAGGAGTCAGGTCCTGGGGCTGAACCTGTGCCCCCTCCCCCCAAAACACCACCGTTCTGTTCCAGCCCAGCGGTCTGTGACTTGTCAGTTTAACAAAAAACAACCCAACTGCACCTCGGGTTACTCAGCCAGGGAGGCAAAAATAAAACGCGGCTTAAAAATACCAGCATGGTCCTTCCGCAGCCTTGGGCCCTCCGGCCCTTGGGCTGTTTTTTTCCACAGGGTGGCCGGTGTTGTTTCAGTTTGGGGACTTTTGTTTTTGACAGACCTCAGGGGCCTGCGCCTCACATGGGGGAGGGTTAAATTCAGACTGAAAGTGCCCTCCTCCAACCTGTTTCAACCCCAAACGCTGCTACTGGGCATGGGGTAGCGGGAGCAGGATTTAAGGACATCTGCAGACAGGCCAGAAGAAACAAACCAAGGTCCCTGGGCTTCTCCAGGATTCCGCAACACATGGCCCCACTGCGACGGCAGGTAAACCGAGGCCCCAGGCCTTCACAGCACCCGGTACCCCAGGGCGCTCCGGCATTCCAGCCTCACTGCACCTGCCTGGGCCCTGTGACTTCTGAGGACCAGCACCTTCTGAGCCTCCATCTACCCAGCTGGAAAATGGCCCTTTCACGGTCAGACCCAACAACCTGAGACTCTGAGGGAGCCGCCCCGCCCTCCCCACCAGGCCTGCCTGCTCCGAGGTGATAACCGTGACAGGCACAATGGTGGTGCTGCTGTCTGCTGAGTGGCCCACGAATTCCCACTCAATCCTAACCCAGCCTCCTCCTGGCCCAAGCCCGGCTCCTGGCATCTTAACTTCAGCACCCACGTGTGACTAATTAAACACACAGTCGGTTTCATGCCCGTGTCCTCTGCCCACCAGGGCAGTCCTGTGTGGGGAAGGTGGTGCCCACCCTGTGCATGCAGGCTTTTCTGCTCAGTAATAGGCACCCCCCCCTCCTTTTTTTCCTTGAGGAGGGGTCTTTATCACCCAGGAGAAAGAGCAGTGGCACGATCACAGCTCACTGCAGCCTCTACCTCCAGGACTCAAGTGATCCTCCTTGCCTCAGCCTCCCGCATAGCTGGGACCACAGGCATACACCACCTGTATTAGCTAATTTTTTGAGTTTTGTTTTGCTTTTTTTGTTTTGTTTTTTTTTTTTGAGAAACGGGGTCTCACTACGTTGCCTGGGCTGGACTTGGAACTCCTGGCCTCAAGCGATCCTCCCACCTCAGCCTCCCAAAGTGCTGGAATGACAAGGGGGAACCACTGTGCCCAGCCCCCTCCCAATTATTGAAACAAGGTTTCCAAGGTCTCACTGTCATCCAGGCTGGAGCGCAGTGGCCTTTTACTTAACTTTTAATTTTTGTATCTTCAATGGAGGAAGCGACCCTGATCAGGTCCATTTTACAGATCAGAAGATCAAGGCCGGAGCTGGCTTACCCAGCCAAGCTGGGGGCCCAGGACCACGCCCCTGAGGCCTCAGTTTCCCCATTTGTACAGTAGTGGACTGTAGCATGCTGCGTCCGGGTGAGATCCCCATGGCACACCCACTGCCGTGCGGTGTCAGCCTCCTGCCAGAGCAACGCACACCCCCAGCCCCACCGGAGCCTCTCATCCAAACAGCTGAGGCTCCATCGCTGACATATTCAGCAAACACTGTCCCCTGAAAACCTTCCCGTGAACTGTGGGGCAAAGGGGTGTCGGGGGCTGGGCGGGGGTTCTGGCTCACCATGCTGAAGTCCAGGAGGTCACTGAGCTCCTTGTCTGTGCCCACAGGCGCCATCCTCTGCGGCTGGTTCATTCTCCTGGGGCCAGGGCGGGCACCTCAGGCCTGGAAACCCTGCATGGTGGACGTGGAGACAGATGGACAGGGAGAAACAGGGAGGAGAAAAGAGGTGTGAGTGGCCAAAACACAGAGTGGGGAAGCCGCCTAAAAAACCCTCAACTGCCCTGGGGTCTGAGTTCCAGCGGAGCCCTGGGAGCAGGGGCAGGGAAGATGGAATTCCAGAGTCTAGATCCCTGTAGAGCCCTCCCCAGAGGCCACCGGGAGTCTGAAAAATGGGGGGAGGGTGTGCAAATATAAACTCCCTAACTCCCCCAGAGACCACCAGGGCGTCAAGTTGCCAAGTTTAAACTGCACGCAGGGCAGCCAGAACCTCTCCTTTCCCCACGTCTCTCATTTCCAACCACCCCCGGGTTTCCTCTGAGGCCCCCCTACTCCCCTGGGAAGAGGAGGAACAGCCCGGCCCTACCCCACTCCGAGGGAAATTTGGTGATCCCCCCACCCAGACGTCACAGCCCGTTGAAGACAAGGTCGCCCCCAAATTCGACATGAAGGAAATCCACAAGTCAGAAAACCACGAAACTCTTTTACAAGCTTCACAACTTAAAGTGGGGGGACGCACTCTATGCAGGGACCAGTAAAGCTTCCCTCCACCCTCAATCTCCCTCCCCCTAAAAAACCCTAACTGTGTTCAAAAAAGAAAAAAAACAACCCTAGGTTGCTTTACTGTCACGATGTATCCGGGAATTATTTTTACGCAAAACTTTGACAACATCCCTCGCCCGCCCTCCCTGAGCGGGGAGAGGGTCCCAAGAGCAGGGTGCCCCCGCCATTCTAGAATGGCGGATGGGGGATCCACCTGCCAGGACCCATTCCACCCCCAGAAAAAGGTACAGAGAAAAATCTCCGTCCCAAAGAAATGCACTCCAGGCCCCTCCAGTCTCGACTTTCCCCAGGGGTCCCCAGGTGGGGACGGGGGCAGGCCGGGAGATACCTCCGAGGCTGGGGGTGGGGAGGGGCCTCCGAGGTCGAGGGAGACCCAACTTAAGCAGCAGAGAAATCCCCTCTTTGTCTGCCAACTGGAGGCCGGGTGTGAAGCGGGCGCCCCAGCGCAGCCCCTCCCCCGCTCAGTTTTTTTCTTTTTTGGAGGGCGTGTGAAACTGACTTTTTTTGAGGACTACGAAACCGCACTTTTTCGTGGGGTAGTTGAAACCGATTTTAAGACAGACTTAGTTGGGGGGGGGTGGCGAGCTGAAACGGGCATTCTAGGGGAGCTGGAAGACTTCTGGGGCGTCCCAAGGACTTTGAGAGACTTGGAGGATGTTCGAAGCCACTTTGCGCGGCGCCGAAGGGGGGAGCCCTGAAACGCCTTTTTCCCCGGGGGCGGGGGGGGGACGGCCCGGGAAGCCGGACCCCCTCCCCCCCCGCAGCCGGTGCAGGCGGCGCGACCCGGGAGCCTTTGAAGCTCACAGCGCGGCCGCCGCCTCGCCCCGCATTAACGCGGAGCAGATGTTCCCCGCGCGCCCCCCCCCCCCGGCCCGCCCGGCCCCGACCAGCGCCTGCAGCGCGCCGCACCTTCCCCGCGCAGACAAAAGGACGCCCCTCCCGCGCGCTCCCCCCCCAAACTCCGGCGCCCGGGCCGGGCCCCCCTCTACCCGAAAAAGGGGGCGCCCCGGCGTCCCCGTGCGCCCGGGTTGGGGGGGGCGGTCCTCGCGCCCAAGTTGCACAGCCCGTCCGGCGCCCCCCGCACCCCCGCCCGGGGCTGCGCAAAGTTTCCCGAAGTGCCCGGCCCGACGGGGGCGGCGCGGGCCTGGCGAGCTCCGGGCCCCTCCACGTCGCCGCCCCCCCGGCGCCGCGCGAAGTTGGAGAACAATGACTCCCGGGCCGCGGGGCGCCCCCCGAGGCTGCCCCCGCTCCGACTTCCTCCGCGACCCCCAAAAACGCGCGCGAGGCGGGACGGGGTCCCCTGGGCACAAAGCGCGGGGGTCCCAGGCGCGCCCCGCGCCCCCCGCCCCCCGCTGGGCTCACCTGCTGGGCGCGGCCGGGCACGCGGCGCGTGGGGGGCGGTGGCATGAAGCGGGGCCCCCCCCCGGACAAAGGGGCGTTCGCGGGCCCGGCCCCGAGGGTCGCGCGTGGGCGCGGGCGCCGGCGGCGTGGGCCGGCCCTCCCACCCCGCATGGCCCGTCCCGCGTGGGCCGGTGCGCCCGGCCGGCCGGGGCGCCCCTGGGCAGCGGCGTGCGCGGTGGCCCGCGGTGCCCGCCGCCGCGTCGGCTCCGGCCCGCTACGCCCGCAGCCGCCGCCGCTGCCTCATCTTCCTGCGGCGGGAGACATGTTCCGCCCCCCGCCCCGCGACGCCCCGCCCCGCCCCGCGCAGGCCCCGCCTCTGCCCCGCCCCCGCGTGCCCCGCCCGGCGGCCCACGCGGATCCCTCCGCCATCTCCGGGCGGGTCGGGCCCGAACGCCGCAGCTCGGCCTCCCGAGCACCCTCGTAAGGACCCCGAATCCCCGCGAGGTCCAGGGCCTGGGAGCGGGGACGCGCAGAGGGGGCGGTCGGGCCACGACGTAGGTAGAAAGCATGAACTATCCCCCTCCGCGGAAGCACACACGAGCTGTGGGGTTAGTCCATGACGCAAGCGAGTAAGGCCCGTGAGATTGAAAGATAAGACAGAACAGTCTGGCCAGTCGAAAGGCGTGAAACTCTGATGGGCGGGGATCCTAGCCATTCGTGGTGAGTCCCCGCCTCGTTTCTTTTCGGCCCCGCCCCGCGGCAGAGGCGGGACTCTGTGAGCGAGAGGCCGCGAGAAGCGGCGGGGGTGGGTCCTGGAGTTTTGTTCTCAGGTTGGCGTGGCCGCCCGCGCGGCCCCTTCGGCTTGGTTGTATTTGTGTTGTTCGGGCCGGCCCTGCGTGCCGAGTGGTGCGAGCGGGTACCCCGGCCCCGAGGGGGCCACGTCGGACCCATTTTCCTGGCGGGAAAACCGAGGCTCGCTCCGGCTCTGGGTCAGAGATCTCCACGGGGAGCCTCCGCGGTGCCTTTGCCGACCTGAGTCGCCGTCTCGGCATCTGTGAATTTGGACCTGACTTTGGACAGAACTCAGGCCAGATCTGGCTTCCTGATTCTTAGTAGTTCGTGTCTACATCTTAGCAAAAAGTGACCCCTCCTAGGGCAGGGCGCGGTGGCTCCTACCTGTGATCCCAGCGCTTTGGGAGGCCAAGGCGGGAAGATCGCTTGAGGCCAGGAGTTCGAGAATAGCCTGAACAACACAGTGAAACCCCCCTGTACCCATCTCTAAAAATTTTTAAAATAATTTAAAATAATAATTTAAAAAGTGGACCGGACGCGGTGGCCCACGCTTGTATTCCAAGTACTTTGGGAGGCCAACGCGGGCAGATCACCTGAGGTCAGGAGTTCGAGACCACTCTGGCCAACACGGTGAAACCCCGTCTCTACTAAAAATACAAAAATCAGCCGGGCGTGGTGGCGGGTGCCTGTAATCCCAGCTACTCGAGAGGCTGAGGCAGGAGAATCCCTTGAACCCGGAAGGTGGAGGTTGCAATGAGCGAGATGGCGCCATTGTACTCCAGCCTGGGCAATAAGAACAAAACTCTGTCTCTAAAAAATAAATAAGTAAAATAAAACAAAAATACAAAAATTAGCTGGGCGTGGTGGCATACACCTATAATCTCAGCTACTTGGGAGGCTGAGGCAGGAGGCGGAGGTTGCAATGAGTGGAGATCGTAGCGCTGCACTCCAGGGTAGGTGACAGAACGAGGCTCTGTTTCAAAAAATAAATAACTAAACAAATAAATGAAAATAGCACAATCTCCCAGGGCTCCCTGGGGCCCCAAAGGGAAATGCTCCACTTCCAGCCTGGGAAGATGCCGCTATCTCGCTGGCCCGCTTGGCTCCAGCCATCCCGCTCTCTGGATGGTCCAGCACCTGCTAAGCTCATCCCCACCCTGAGCCTCTACATTTGCTGTGCCCTCTACCTGGGAGGCTATTCCCACCCCTATCTGGAGCCCCTGAGTCATCACAGTTCAATGCCGCTCCTAGGCCAGGGCAGCGGGGAGGCAGGGCCACAGGGGCCCCCCACCAAAGCCACAAGCCCCTCCTGCTATACACCTGGGCTGTCCACAGTCTGACCCTCTGTGCCCAGAGAGATCCCCACATGCTGCAGGTCTGGGGAGAGGGCTGTGGGTCACGGGGTCTGTGCCGCAATCCCTCATCCCTCTCCACCTCACTCTGACCTCAGGCAAGTTCATGCTACTCTCTGGGCCTCGGTTTCCCCATCTGGACAGTGGAAGGGGGGGCGTTTGGCACAGAGTAGGTGCTCACAGCTGATGCTTGCCTTCCTCAGCCACCCCCACTGAGACACCTCTCCAGAGCCAGGGTCTCCAAGCAGCTCCAATCCCACCCCAGTCTCTTCAGCCCTCAGCCCTCCCCTGTGGCCCAGCCCTGATCCCATGGGTCTGAGGGTGCCTGGGGCCGGGTCTGGCTCTCCCCATTCCAGTGTAGGGGGCTCTTGAAGGCTGGGCTGGAGCCTCACGCAATGTGGGCCACTCACATTCTGGGTCCAAGCCATAGTGTGGGAGCCAGAGTCCCCCCAAGGAGCCCTTTAGTTTCACCCATGGAAGGGAAGCAACCATCCATTCATGGACCAATTATTATTATTATTATTATTACTGTTATTATTATTATTTTGAGAAAGTCTCGCTCTGTCGCCCAGGCTGGAGTGCAGTGGTAAGATCACAGTTCACTGCAGCCTTGACCTCCTGGACTCAAACGATCCCTCCTGCCTCAAATTCCCGAGTAGCTGGGACCACAGGCACGCACCACCACACCTAGCTAATTTTGTACTTTTTATAGAGACGGAGTTCTCCCTATAGTTGCCCAGGCTAGTCTTGAACTCCTAGGCACAAGTGATCCTCCCGCCTCGGCCTCCCAGAGTTCTGGGATTATAGGCTTGTGCCACCACGCCGGGCAGGACTATTCAATGATTGGGCTCTGACACTGTACGGGGCCTTGCGCTGGGCATTGTAGCACTGCGGATGGTGACGGACCCAGTCCCTGCTGTCCTGGGCAGGATGACCCATCAGGGACACCTTGTCTAGTCCTGAGTGTGACTCTTTCCTGTGAGGTCCTTCCGCCTGTGTGGTTCCACCTATTGTACAGATGAGGAAACTGAGACTCAGAGATCTCCTCCCTGGGCCCCAGGACACCCTGGGGCTCACGCCTGCCAGGAGGCTCTGCCGGCAACCACAAGCCACCATTGTTTTCCCCGAGGAGGTCTGTCCTGGGGCTGAGTCACTGGGTGGAGCAGCCAGTGGGGGCCCCCACTCAGCCACCACCTCTGCCCAGCCCCGAGGCCTGGGTGCTCCCGCCAAGGCCCTGGCACCGGGACAGGCAGCGAGCCATCCTCCTGACTGTGGCCTTTGTTCTGCTCTGGGGCTGGGCAGGAGGAGAAGCGGGGCCTCTCCACCTGCCGCGTGTTCCCTCCACACCTACTGTGTGCGCCCTCACCAACATGAACCACGTTATGTGAGAAAAACTGAGGCCAAGGACAAGTTCCCACTAGGGAACGGGAGACACAGGAGCGGGGCGGACGGGGGGCGCCGGTGAGGCTTCCGGAGACAGACACAGTAGGTGTGCAGGCCGCCGCCGTCCGCAGAGAGAGCGGGCTTGGATTAGGACTTCGGGGCCACCCTCCAGATTTCTGTTTCCATTTGTCCCTAAAGTGGGGAGACCTTTGACTTCTCCCAAGGTGTGAACAAACTCCCCCCACATCCAGCGCCCTCCAGCAGGGCGGAGAAGGGAGTGGCGGCCCAGCTCTTATCACCGGTGTCAGGCCCCGGCACAAACCTCACTCCCCTGGCACAGACCTCGCTCCCCCGGCACAGACCTCGCTCCCCCGGCACAGACCTCACTCCCACCTCACTCCCCCAGCACAGACCTCACTCCCACCTCACTCCCCCAGCACAGACCTCACTCCCACCTCACTCCCCCAGCACAGACCTCGCTCCCCCGGCACAGACCTCGCTCCCCCGGCACAGACCTCGCTCCCCCGGCACAGACCTCGCTCCCCCAGCATAGATCTTGCTCCCCCAGCACAAACCTCACTGCAGCATCCACGGAGTGCCAGCAGCTGGGGTGATCGGTGTTGCCTTCCAAGGTGGGGGCTTCCTGCTCCCGCTCAGACCCCCAGCAAGGGGCTTGATCCCAACACGACTAGCTCAGGACCAACCCATAGAGCCCTGGACTGGGACTTGGCCAGGGTAGGGCCCATTCCCTTATTCTCCCTGACTTCATTTTTAATTTATTTTTTGTTTTTTAATTTTTTTTGAGACAGAGTCTTGCTCTGTCTCCAGGCTGGAGTGCAGTGGTGTGATCTCAGCTCACTGCAACCTCCGCTTCCCGGGTTCATGCCATTCTCCTGCCTCAGCCTCCTGAGTAGC